TCTGTGTCCTATAGACACACAGGCGACTTGGGAGCGAGCATGCACGAGTGCCCCCAGAGCAAGCAGCTTGCTCTTGGGGAATGCAGCAAGGGAAGATGCCAGGAATGCCAGCAGGGGATCCAAGAAGAGTAGGATCGGGTCTGCTCTGTGCAAAAGCAGGTAAGTATATAATGTTTGTTATTTTTTTTTTTTTAAATTAACCTTTAGTATCACTTTAAACCCTTCTCTTTATCCTGTGTTTTGCTTTTTTTCTTTTCAGTTTATTCTCTCCATTATGGTTTATTAACCTTTTTCATTAAAAAAAATCACAATACAGAATGCAGAAAATGTGTGAGCTATTTTAATGAGCAGTGGTCACAATACAGTACAATTGGCATAGGTGTTCAACAAGTTTGGAACATTCAAGCTTCTCAAAGTAATGCGGAAGTACTGTAGAGTTTGCTGTTCCTAATTAAGGGGAAAAAGCAAACTTTCAAACTGTATATAGGTATAGAATTACAAAGACAAAGAAACATAAGGGAGGGTTGGGGGAGGGGTAAGACTCTTAGAGAAGTCGTCTGTTATTTTAAGGCTAGTGTTCAGCAGGATGCCACTCATCTACTGTGATAAGTGTTAGATCACACATTTTACTGTAAAATTAGGTTTGGAACTGTGCCCGGAAAAGAAGTACAGGAATTTAAATGCTTTCAAGAACCAAGTTGCCCAAATGTTGTAGTGTGTGTTGTAGTCATCCTTCTAAGGGACCATAATTCCTTGTCAAATATATTTTATCCACACAATATCCATTTTGCTATTGATGGTGGTTTAGAGGCTTTCATATATTTTGGAATTAGGATCCTGGCCACATTTAAAAGGTGTAGGAGCAAAGAATGATTATACTTAGGAGCAATTAGAGGTGTGTTATGGAATAAGAGGTTTAAGGTGGTGATTTCTGCTATTAAGTTAGATATTCGATCCCTGTAAAACTCATATACTCATACCAGCTTTAGATTTATTTATTGAACATTGCCACCAAATGGAAGAAAGGGTACCCAGGCCAGGGTACAGCTTCAGCACAGTGGAGAAGTCGTGGCATCCCACCTACTTAGGTTTCTGAGTCTATGCACCCCTTAGTAAGGAGTTAAAAATTGTAATTCTTAGTAATTTTATGTGTGAAAGAGTGTTGTTCCAAGTGGGCCAATTAAGCTATGGGTTTTTCTTGAGCAGCAACTAGAAGCTCCTTAGGGCTTGTTCACACTTGACTTCTTCCCAAATGCCCCTATAGCGTTTGACAGACAGTGTTAGACAGGCATTTGGGGAGCATGCCATGTGTATAATTTTCATTGGCATTTGAGAAGCATTAAAAATTCCCCTGAAATGCCTGCAAAACGCCTGCTTACAAAGCTAGTGTGAATTAGCCTTACTTACAAAAATACTAGAGGGTCCAACTGTGAGCAATAAGAATTTTTCTAAGCCAACTCCCCGTAGATAACAATGAAATACTGTGAGAGGGTCCAACTGTGAGCAATAAGACAAGTTTTTTATGACTAAGTATTGAAGATGGTGCTCCCTTACTTAAATGATCAACAGGTGGACTATAAATGTTAAAGAGTTTGATCTGGAGTTTCAGTTCTTTCACTTCTCATAGTAAATTGCAGGTAACATAGCATAATATGTGGCTTCTTGGATAGCATGTAGTCAGGCGATATGAGAAGGAATAAATTGCGCACAGGAAGCACAATTCTGTGCATTTGTGTCAAGGTACAGAAAGTTCAGCTCCGACTGGTGGGTAGTCTTTCCAGTACTGTGTTTAATATCCCATCTGATTCCTAGGTTCCAAAACAGGATACTGAATGTTGGAGGCTGGTTTGAGGAATTAAATGCTTCAGGGTACCGCCGGACCCCCTTGAATGCTTAAGCTGTTGTGGGGCGCGACCTGTTTTCTTGGCTCTCCATTTTAAACATAAGGGATTGTGGGGAGACCTAAGAATGGTGATAGGGTTGTTGGTTTTGTTGCAACTGGTGCATTGCCTGACCTTCTGAAGCTTGCATGATTTCCAGATTCTGAATCAACTCTAGATATTATATGATTCAGGTAACTTCTCAGGGAGGATACTTCAGTTTTCAGTGTGGTTGTGAGGTGTGAGAAAGGGTGCGAGTTGAGGAAATGGCAGCCATGGCCTACCTAATTTATTTATCTCCCTTGTGTCTGACATCTGACCTATGTATTGAGAAGTATGGGCTTCTATCCTACCTGGGCTGTCAGAGTGTTCTCTGTGCAGGCTTTCATACAATCTGAATTATCCCTTTTCGATGCTTAGTCTCCTGCTGCTGAGACTGCCTAGGTTGCGATCTGATCTATTTTCAAATTGCAGCCTTCTGCATTGTTGCAGTGATGCATAGATCCAGGCCATGATGTGGCCAGGGTAGCAGATGGGGAAGCCTTTCCTCCCAGTAGTAACTGTGGATGCCTTGGAACTGAAATGAAGCTGTAATGGCTAATGAATCTGTGCTGGGCTGGATGTCAGTGTGTCTCTCCACCATTCCAGCCTGGAGACACCCCCATCTTGTTATTTCTAATTTGTTGAATGTTCTCTTTTCAATACATTTTTATTCAAGGACTTTAGCAAAGGTACAAAAATTATCAATCAGATATCAAAATATGGATGCGCCTTCGAGCATGGTCATGGGCCAGCTCGTCTCTTACATATAGACAGTAAAAGAATCAGGCAGGCCCTGCCAAATAGACCAGTAGCTTACCAAGGGTGTAAAGCTCAATAATTGTAATTACCCAGTTACAATAAACAGGATAAAGTCAAAACTACACAAATACGTGTTAGTAAACTGCAGCTCAGGAATTATCCCTGCTATACTGGAGTGTTTGGGTGCTATAGTGTTCAGTAATGTTCCCAGTACCTCAAAGTGCAGTGCCATTCTCCCAAATATATGTTAGGTTGGGAAAGACTCTGTGGCCCCCACATTGACATCTATATATAAAAATGATCAAGATCATAACAAAATAAGAAAAGATAAAAGTAGAGAAAAAGGGAGAAAGAAAGACAGACAGACGAGTCCCCTCAACACATCCAAGACCCAGGGCACAGCAGTTATTAAGGAGCTTGAAGGTATTTAATCCAGGGATTCCACACTTTTTCAAACCTGGCTTGTTTGTCCCCGAGGATACTTGTCAATTTTTCATTAATCATAATCCAAGATATTTTATGTTTGAGCAGCGTAACATTGACCATGGGTGATTTCCACGCTCGCGCTATGGTAATTGTAGCTGCTAGAAAAATTAAGAAGATGAGGGTTCGGAGATGTCCGGCGATCTCATCCAACAGATCAGTGAAAAAACTGTTTTAGTGTTTTGGGGTATATTCATCCCTGTAACAGAATACATAAGATTGAATATTCTGATCCAGAATCACTGAATCTTCGGACAGGACCACCAGACATGAAACATATTGCCCTCCTGACAGCATCCTTGAAAACAGAGAGAAGAGGTGCCAAGGCAGATTTTTGCCAATCTTGCCAGAACGAGGTACCAATGGGACAACATCTTGTAATTTGCTTCCACTAGAGAGGTATTGAGTTTTCCCCCTAATTTGTTGAATGTTCTAAAAGTGTACATTAAGAAGTCTCAGATTGAAAAATGACATGTTTTAGAAACATCTGCTGGAGTGACCACTGCAATGCACTATCATTGATATTATAAAGGTGAGTGAGAGCAAGTAGTACCATGTGCAAAGTGTGGGGAAACAGCCCTATATGTAACTCTGAGCACACTCAAAAAATGGCAAATGTGTGCACGTGAAATTTTTTTGATTTTCCTTCTTGACAAACAACTAGAAAGGGGAAGAAGGCTCACGCAGGTGTGGGAAAGCATGCAAGGTTGCATAGCAGACCCTGACACACTCCAAAATCTTGTGAAAAGCCTTCCCACAAGGGTGGAAGTTGTAATATCTACAAAATGAACCACACTATTACCCATTGTTTAGGAATAGGATGTCCTTCAAGCTCTTATAGTTGTAATGGTCAGGTATCCACAACCTTTTTGGTCATATATTATATTTTACTTTGCATTTAGCAACTGCAAATTGCAAAACAAATTGATAAAAAAAAGGACTCTGCTATATAACAACCCTGTTGCATTGTCTAAAATTATAAAATTCCTCGGGTATCAAGGTAACATTTCTTATCATTCAAAGCATCAAGAAGCAGCAGTATCCCCTGCTGTGGCATTTTTTCAACACATTATCAAATGTGTGCAAATCAGAAAAGCTACCTAGGGTGCTGTTAATTTCAAATAGTAGATAAAGTTATCCTTCTGTCCATGCAGAGGAAAGCAACAGGTTCACTTGAAATTGCTCTGCTCTAAATGATGCAACAATTGCACCACATACTGAAAGGAAGCAGAAGAGGTCACATGTCCCCTTATACTCAGAAGTTTCCAAAAGTTCCAGTTGGTGAATGAGGCATTGGGGGGCAAGCTTGCATGCTATTTGCTCAGGAAAAGAGCTTTAATCCTTGGCAGCAAAACAAAATTAGTCTTTCATTTTAAACTTTCTTTTTTTTTTTTTTTTGCTAAATGGCTGGAAGTTTAGAACTTCAAAGTTAACTGTCATCTGTGTCCCAGCTTAAAAGATTTCCCATACTTTCTAGTGACAAGGAATCAGAGGGACAGAATGTGTTCAGAAACTTTTATCATAGTAACAGAGGTATCAATGCAATTGTAGTTTGTTTGTTTGTATTTATTTATTATTTTTATGGTGGGGAAAAATTTGAATCTTTGAAGTTTTCATTGCTGGTGTGCCTTTCTGTTCCAATGCTTTCAGGTTCTTTAATGTCTTGTCCTGGTGTCACAAGGACACGATTGCAGGACAATGACCCCTGTGGGATCATAAAAAGAAAGAAAAAAAAACGCACAGAAGTTCAACCCCTTCCCCATACTATATGGATATGCACACATTTGTATTAGTCATTAAGTCATTATTAACATCTAATTATTTCCTGTTTTTCAGTAAGAAAATCAAAAGCAGCTGATGAGAGACGTAGGTCTATGGCTAAACAGGCCAGGGATGACTACAAGAGGCTGTCAATGCAGGCCATTGAGAGAGGAAGTGTGGCTAACAGGGCCAAAAATTTTGGAGGAGAATTTAAACGGCCACCTTTACCACCAAAACCAAGCAACTGTGGGATAAACAGGTACAGTAAAACATATTAATTTTTGTATTTTTTTGAATTTTAATGTAAAATTGATTGGTAAAATGTAAGGTTTTGGCAAAACAGGACACTCCACTGAGCCAATAAAAGTGCAAGTTTAGGTAAAAAAAAACTGGAAAGTTTTGAACATGGTAGTTGACGCAATAATCTGTGTTGGGTTGTTTCTCAGTTTTGTAAATTTTTGGTAATATGTTATAAAATTATTTTTAAGTTAAAGGTACTGGCACATACCTTCAGCAGTTTCCAAGTCCTTCCATGCTTTATTTATTCCTCAAAGGTTTGTCTCTTTTTAAGATTGTTAATGTTTGCCCACCCCGTTACATCCTGCACATACCTGATATCCCTATTTTACAATAAAGCTGCACATCATAGAGATGGGCCATTAAGAATACGTGAGAATCAGAAGGGGGCAGGCAAGCTTTGACACTTTCAGGAGGTTTTCTACTTGAGAGCGGCTTTGGATTCAGGGTTAGAAGAAAATATTTGGAGTTGTATGTAAGTCAGTCTATAAATGGTTAGCATGTCCGCCTGGCAGTACTAGGGTCGTTGGTTTGAATCCCAAACATGGCACCACCTGCCTGGAGTTTCATGTTTCTCCCTGGGCCTGATTGGGTTTCCTCCAGTTTCCTCCAACACACCAAAGACATGGTGGTAGGTTAATTGGTTCCTGTCTAAATTGGCCCTAGTATGGATATGCATGAATGTGAGTTAGGATCTTAGATTGCACACCGATTGAGGGTTAGGGACTGATGTGAATGTACTATATATATTATATATATATATTATATATATATATATATTTATATATATATACACATACATGTAAAGTGCTGTATAAATTGACAGTGCTACATAAGTACCTGTAATAAAATAAATAAATGCTGTCAGCTTACATTTTTTTTAGGTTCAGGTCTATTTAAAGCCTGGTTTCATCCAATTCTCTATTTAGCTATAGTAAGGAAAGGTTAAAAACACTTTTATATATATTTTTAATGCTGTCTGTGTGAATACATTTCCCAATAATTCCTGTGATCAAAGCACTTTTGACATTCTGTAATTCAATTATATGTCTTTGCTTTCCTAGTAAGGCAATTTACCCATCTAGCTCATTTCTAGTCCAGATGTCACAGAGAAACAAAAATTGAAAAACTCTCCAGTAGAGTAAAGACCACGAGAAGAGCATGACTGAAGTTTCAACCCTACTTCATCCTTTATAAGACCATAGAAAAAAAAATTTTGGGCTGTTTGAGGGTTTCGCTTTAATCAGAGAGGCAAATGTTTACTTTTTTGTATTGTGCCATTAAAAGTGTTACTAAACCCACAACAGTAAAATCAGTCTGTATATGCAGTAAAGCATGCTTGTTTATACTCACTGTGGAACCTAATGGGTATCCTCTGCATTGTGTAAAAACACAATCTTCTCTGATCCTCCCCTTCTTCCAGTGCCCTCCTCTTATCTTCTGATAAAACATATTGTGTGGAGTCACTCCGCACATGCTCACTTTGGTGTGTACTTTTGGTGTACTTTGGTGTGCTAGAAATATTTTGTTTTCTGGGAGAGTGCATGTGATCAGCATAGGGCCAATCAGCCCTGTGCAGACAGAGGTCAGGGGTCTTGCATCCTCCTAGAGCAGAATGAAAACTCCTACAAGCTTTAACCAGTGCTCGGCTGTATTCTGATAGAAGTTACAAGACTGCTATATACTGCTGATGAGCAGTTTGTATTTACTAAAATCATTGCACTTCCATGTTATGTGTACTGTGGGAGACCAGATATAGTAATTGCAGGGTCCTGGGTTTAGTAACACTTAAATAGGTTTCATTAGTGTCTATCAATTCTATCAACCTGCAAAGCTCTTGTACAAAAAGATTAAGTGAAAATTGTGCAGTGCAATAGTGTTAAATATTCAATAACTGCTAAATGTTCACTGAATTGCAGCTTTATGCCTCCCCAGAATTATACTATCGACTGATTGTTTTATCACAGTAACTTCTGCAAATGTAAATTTGCTCTAAAGATTGATTAGTAAAGGTTCAAATCTGAACCATCATAAAGAAACAATTATCCTGATCAACAAAAAAGCTTTTCCTATTTTAGGTCAGATATGATAAGAAATAACTACACTTTTAACAATGTAGATTGTTCAGATTATAGGTTTCATTATTTGTTCATTCTTTTCTAATGCATCATTTATTGTATTTTTTAAGGACTGAAAGAAGGCACTGTGTAAGAAAGATTAAATTCTAGCTGCACACATGAAAATATCATCAAATGGTTTTAAAGAGGAGCAACTTCCTTTACATTCTGGATGGGACAGATCTGGAACCAGCATTGCACCTTGGTTTCACGGTAATCACTAGTCACTACTACCTGGTAGCCTCAATATAAAAAATGTCCATGCTCTTAAGAAGAAAAGTGATTGACACAGACCTTTACTCAATCTAAACGTTTGATTCTATACAACATGGGTATCTTTGAATCGTGCGGTGGTGTGCACTATTTTGATTTCTTAGTGATGCCTCTTCTGAGCCTTCTAACCCTTTTCACTTAGCCAGTCACGAAGGATAAGTCCTCATGCACACCTGACGTTTCCTCACACTGCTGATAACAGCCGCGTAGTCTTGGTTATTATCAGAGAAAATTAACACATTGATGATAGGTTAGGTGGAGGAAAATTTTACCTCTTATTGAATCCTTATTGAATTAGATGTACCACGATATTGATGCATTTGCACACAATTCCCAGAAATTCAACTTGCATGGGAAAGTAAGTCTTAAAGTGTATCTGTAGCCAATACAATTTTTTTCAGTTTTGGATAGATTTGGAAACAGTAAGGTTTAAATTACTGCCCCTGAGGCAATTCTTCCTCTTCAGGGCTGCTAGTGGGAATATCACATGGTGAAAACTCTGTACCTGGAGGGAATGTGAATTCTGGTCACCAGCCTGGCCACGATTGTTGAGTGACATTGTGTGTGTAAGATCGACCATCGTCTAGCTGTAACAGTCACATCATCCCTGCTGGTTGTCTATGCCCTCACTCTGTGTACTCTATGTACATCATTCCCTCTATTTTCTTTGCCGCCTTAATATATAGTGTACCTGTACTCTGCCCCCTACCTCAGGTATATCGTGTGTTTGTGCTCAACTTACCATATAGTACCTGTTTTGTGCCCCACCACCCTCATCATAAGCTATTTTAAGCCAGCTTACTATTACACTGTACCTTTACTATTCCCTCTACCATCATCATATAACCAGTATTGTGCCAGCTTACTGTACACTATACTGAAATACGCTCTCTACCCTCCTCGGACCTGTATTTTGCTAACTTACCATACACAAAACACTGTACCCAGGGCTGCTGTTAGAAACCATGGGGCCCCATATAGCTAACTAGACAGGGCCCCCTCCCCAAGAAAAACAGTTTACTATGCTTTATTTATGAATAAATATAGTGAGTGATCAGTACCAATCACTCATTGTGTTCATTCAAGAAAGGAAGGGGCTGGTAAATGTGACCTATTTAGAGGACCCTTCAACCACTCTCTATCCAGAAGGACCCTATTGTGTTCTTGCAGCTACTGATGGGAGGAGGGAAGTTAGCAGCACTGCGGGGGTGGGTGCACACAGGAAAAACTGGCATGGTGAAACGTATGGTGCACATGTAGGGTGTTGGGTGTGGCGAGGGGGGCAGTTACTGGAACCGATCCCCTGTATGGCTCTCTCTGCAGCAGCTGAAAGCCAGCAGGATGGTGAGGAAAATAATTCACCCAGCTGCCTGGGCCCTCCTGCTGGCCTGGGCCCTGTACAACAGGACTGGTGGCCCCCCTTATCCACTGCCCTGACTGTACCTGTGCTGTGCCCTGTACCCTCATCAGATCCTGTAGTGTGCTAGCTTACTATACTGCACACTGTACCTGTACTGTGCTACCATCATCAAACCCTGTATTGTGCCAGCTTACTATACACTGTACCTGTACTGTGCTGTCTACCATCATCATGCCCTGTAGTGTGCTTACTACCAACATCAGACCCTGTGCTGTGCCCTATACCCTCATCAAACCCTGTACAGTACCTTTTACCCTAATCCAGCGTTATGCCATACACTGGAGGAGGAGGTTTAAAGTGTATGGCTTATACATTATGGGTGGAGGAGAAGGATGGAAAATCACTGGAAATCTAAATTGTACAGTTGTCAGAACATGAGGGCTGCCAAACAATCTGCTGATCAGGCCCGTGCTTTTAATTCACACTGGGATAAATACAGTGGGGATTGAAAGTTTGGGCACCCCAGCTAAAAAAATTGTATTAATGTGCATAAAGAAGCCAAGGAAAGATGGAAAAAATCTCCAAAAGGCATCAAATTACAGATTAGACATTCTTATAATATGTCAACAAAAAGTTAGATTTTATTTCCATCATTTACACTTTCAAAATAACAGAAAACAAAAAAATGGCGTCTGCAAAAGTTTGGGCACCCTGCAGAATTTATAGCATGCACTGCCCCCTTTGCCAAGCTGAGACCTGCCAGTGTCATGGATTGTTCTCAATCATCGTCTGGGAAGACCCGGGTGACGTCAATCTCAAAGGTTTTAAATGCCCAGACTCATCTGACCTTGCCCCAACAATCAGCACCATGGGTTCTTCTAAGCAGTTGTCTAGAAAACTGAAAACTGAAAATAGTTGACGCTCACAAAGCTGGAGAAGGCTATAAGAAGATAGCAAAGCGTTTTCAGATGTCAATATCCTCTGTTCGGAATGTAATTAAGAAATGGCAGTCATCAGGAACAGTGGAAGTTAAAGCAAGATCTGGAAGACCAAGAAAAATATCAGACAAAACAGCTCGCAGGATTGTGAGAAAAAACAATTCAAAACCCACGTTTGACTGCACGATCCCTCCAGAAAGATCTGGCAGACACTGGAGTTGTGGTACACTATTCCACTATAAAGAGATACTTGTACAAATATGGTCTTCATGGAAGAGTCATTAGAAGAAAACCTCTTCTACGTCCTCACCACAAAAATCATCGTTTGAACTTTGCAAATGAACATATAGACAAGCCTGATGCATTTTGGAAACAAGTTCTGTGGACCGATGAGGTTAAAATTGAACTTTTTGGCCGGAATGAGCAAAGCTACGTTTGGAGAAGAAGGGGCACAGAATTTAATGAAAAGAACCTCTGTCCAACTGTTAAGCATGGGGTTGGATCAATCATGCTTTGGGGTTGTGTTGCAGCCAGTGGCACAGGGAACATCTCACGAGTAGAAGGAAAAAATGGATTCAATAAAATTTCAGCAAATTTTGGATGGTAACTTGATGCCATCTGTGAAAAAGCTGAAGTTAAAGAGAGGATGGCTTCTACAAATGGATAATGATCCTAAACACACCTCGAAATCCATGGGGGGATTACATCAAGAGGCGTAAACTGAAGGTTTTGCCATGGCCTTCACAATCTCCTGACCTCAACATAGTTGAAAATCTATGGATAGAGCTTAAAAGAGCAGTGTGTGACAGACAGCCCAGAAATCTCAAAGAACTGGAAGACTTTTGTAAGGAAGAATGGGCAAAGATACCTCAAACAAGAATTGAAAGACTCAATGGCTACAAAAAGCGTTTACAAGCTGTGATACTTACCAAAGGGGGCAGTGCATGCTATAAATTCTGCAGGGTGCCCAAACTTTTGCAGATGCCATTTTTTTGTTTTCTGTTATTTTGAAAGTGTAAATGATGGAAATAAAATCTAACTTTTGTTGACATATTATAAGAATGTCTAATCTGTAATTTGATGCCTTTTGGAGATTTTTCCATCTTTCCTTGGCTTCTTTATGCACATTAATACAAATTTTTAGCTGGGGTGCCCAAACTTTCGATCCCCACTGTACCATTGTAGGTCCAGTTCACTTCTGGCTTGTTCACTTTGTTGTCAAGCCCTGATGAATGGGGCACTTAGACCCCTGAAACTCGTTGGCCTATTCTTAAATTATACCCCTGACCTTTAATGGAATAAAGTTGTATCTGGACCTCTTAGCAGTGGTGTGGCGCTTCAATTCAACTCTTCTTACATTAGAACAAGAAGTAACAGCAAATCTTCCAGTGAGGATATCTGTCCTGCTGTCCAAGTGACAACTAAGATCTCTACTCTGAAAAAAATCCTCTCATGGACAAAAAGATAAAAGGATATCCCCAATATGAAAATAGACAGTAGAAAATGGTTTTAAACCACTGGTGGAACTGCCACTATAGCAGCCCATGAGGCTGCTATGGGGCCCAGACCTGGTAGAGGGCTAGGGGATTAGCCTGCTCAGAGTCCCAGAGATGAGGAGTGATAGCCGGCTTTTGTAGGTAAATCATTCCCCATTCAGACCTTTGTCAGCACAGACCCACATATGCAGTGACAACTCAGTCACTGTTGCTTGTTTTTTTTTTTAATCAGATTATATTTTTTTTTAGACAATATAAAACATACAAAAGCAAACAATAGAAAAACAGAGTGTACAAAAAAAAAACCCCATAAAAACTTAGTTACATAGCTTAGTTACAGTTAAAGCCATAGATGAAAAAGCGGTATAATATGAGCAAACAAAAAAAAAAAAAAAAACAGTCTTTGGGATTTGCACCTTACTTCTTATACACTAAACAGTACCATTTTATTTTAAAGTGCCCTAAAACCTAGCTGAACAACAGACTCATATGATCAAGCCAAAATGCTTCAAACCTTTCTATTGAACTCCTAAGAAAGAAAGTTTAGCTCTCATAGGAAAATACACTTATTAAAAAATACACTTATTAAGATCATATATCCAGTGGGGCAGGATCGGAGGGTGCAGGGAGGTCCACTTAAAGTGTAACTGCACTGCATCCGAGTATAACAAACCAGAAATGCTATACAATTCATTTTAATATTCAAAACAAACTCCCCCATCCATCCATGTCTCCATGCTTTATTTTGCTTTTGAAAAACACCTCCTAGCATTTTTGGCTGTGGCCATCTTGAGTAAGGGCAGATGATTCATTTAGCAGTTACTGCCTAGAACCCATCTGTCCTTAGCTCAGGCATTGGCTGAGCTGAGAACCCTCCCACCCCTCCGGAAGATTCCTGGGATGTATGACGTCATTTTGTCTAGGCATGGAAACCAGGAAGTAAATGAAGGAATGCAAAAAAAAGGTTATAGTAAGTAAATATGATACACTTTCCTATCAATTTACTAATGCTAGCAGCATATGGATTAGAAATAATCCATGTCGATTGAGAGAGTGAAGTTCCACTTTAAGGAAAATTTGTCTTTGGGCCACAAACAGAACGTGTACAACAGTAATCCTGCCCAGATGACTGTATTAGTGTCACTG